TCACAGGCCACCACAGTACGACAAACTGACCGACAAGTGGTGGACTTGGGTGTTAGTGATATCCAATTCTTTGCAAGTTGTTGAACTAAGGTCTCAGTTCCACTAGAGATCCTGGCTGAAGGCCTCCTCTGAACCTTGTCATACATCATCTTAGAGTGAACAAGTGAGAGATTTAAAAAAAAAGACGGAAGTCGTAGTTTTGTTTTTAACCTAATCCTGGTTCTAACCACCTATGACTTTAGTTGTATTCTATTAGAAGTGACCCAGTCTACATGCAGGGGCTAGGGAGTACACAAAAACATTATATTAGTTTCTTGTTGCTGTTGTTGTTGAGTGCCATGGAGTCAGTTCCATCTGTTAGAAACCCTGCAGAGAATTTCTGAGGTTTTTAAAACTTTGTGGAAGCAAAAAGTCTCATCTTTCTCCTGCGAGGCAGATGGTGGGCTTGAACCGTGGACTCATGGTTCTCAGTCCGATGTTTACTGTATGGAGACACTGCGTTCCCATTAGTTTCCTAGGGCTTCCATTAAAAATGATCACAAGCCAGGTAACTTAGAATAACCATTTATTTTGCATAAATCTAGAAGGCAGAAATCAAGGGGTCTGGAAGACTATATATACTTCCTATAAAAGTTCTAGACAAAAATTCTCTTGCCTTCTCTTAACTTCTGGTGGAAATCTTTGACATCTTTTTTGCTTGCAGATACATCACTCACATTTCTGCCTTCCCGTGATCTTCCATCTGTGTGTGTGTATGTATCTAGGACCTACTCCTTGTGTGGCGCTGCGAGTTAATGCACGAGTCAGTTTGAACCACAAGGTCAGTGGTTCAAGCTCACCAGGCGCTCCTCAGAAACCCTATACAGGGTCTCTATGGCTCGGAACTGACTCCATGGCAATTAACAACAATCCAGTATGGAGCCCTGGTGTGGTGCTGTAGGGTCAGCCCTGGACATGAAACACAAGGTTGGCAGTACAAACCCACTTCTTGTTCCTCAGAAACCCTATACAGGGTTGCTATGAGTTGGAACCAACTGCAGGGTAGTGGACAACAATGACTAATCCAGGATGAACTAATTTTAACTAGATTACATCTGAAAAGACCCTATTTCCCAGTAATGTCACAATAATGGTACTGGATTTTAGGACTTTAACATAACTTTTTTTGGGGGTGGGGTGAGGTGAGAAACAACCCACAACAACCCTGAACACGAGGAGGTGGAGCTCTTGGGGTCCATTTCAGAAGTTGCAGACCCAAAGTACTGCGTTGAAATGGGTATTTTGCTGTGCGGAAAAAGACACAACGATGAATACGACAAAGTCCTTGTTCTTAAAGAGCTCCTAGTAAAGGTTGGAGAGTCCTGGTGTGTTGTGGTAGGATAAGCACTGGACAATCACAAGGTTGGAGGTTCAAACCCATCAGCCACTCCTTGGAAACCCTATACAAAGTCTCTTTGAGTTGGAACCTGCTGGACAACACTTAACAACAACAGTAAAGGTGGGAGGAGCAAGGTGAAAAGGTGATAATTACAGGTTAATTACATTGCAGTGCTGGAGGGGCTGTGGTGGAGTAATATGGAAGAGGAATTGTATTCCACAAAACAGAGTTAATTCTGCTTAGGTTATTGGTAGTACAATGTGACATTTATAGAGCCTACTTCAAAATTCACCAATCACCTAGAGAAGAAAAGTGTTCTAAGCAGATGAAAGAGGCAAGGAGCCATAAAAGCGCATGGTATGTTTGAGAAGTGGAGTATTATGGAGAATAAAGGATTGTAGAGTGGTGTAATATAGGTGGGCCAAACTGAGGTCGATTTTGAAGGACTTTGTACAGTGTGCTAACTAAATTCAACTTTAAGAAAAATGGTCTTAAAAGCATTATAGCATGCTATTGCCTCCAAATAATAAAAGAAAACCTTTTTTTAAGTCCTATAGGATCAACACAGGACTGTGAACCACAAAGTAAGCAGTTTAAACCCATCAGCTGCTCCTTGGAAACCCTGTAAGTCAAAACTGACTCGATGGCACTTAACAATAGCAATCAGCTTATTAATATAAAAGCATTACATTTGCTTAATCTTCAGAGTTACTTTATGGTGTAGATTCTATTATTATTAGCTGCAACAAAACAAAAATTTGATATTGACTAATTTTAGCTATAAATCACGTGACGAGAAGTGCCAGGGCCATGATATTGGTCATAGTCCGACAGCAACGACTCCCTTACCAGGGCTTGTGCCTCTCGCCGTGCGGCTGATTTCCAAATGGTCTTCCTATATGCTTTCCTACTGTCTTCCGTCTGAAGGCCAAGAAATGCAAGACCTGCACACACATTTGTGTTCAAGACAGGGAGTGATTCTACAATGAGTTTCTTTTGCATCTCAGAGGTTCTTACTTCTCATTTTGTAAAAATTTCAACATATACAAAGGTCGATAAAATAGCATCGTCAATTTAGCTTCAATACTAATTGAGAGTGTGCTACTCATTTTTCATTCACCCCCCCCACCTTCCATATTATAGTTCTGGAATATTTTTAAGTAAATTATAGACATATAATTTCATCCATGAATATGTCACTATCTATACCAAATACTTTTAGAAATATAGACATAAGACCATTACCATATCCAACACTGTTAATTGTAATTTCTGAATATCAGTCTTTTTTTTTAAAGAACTTTCATCAGCAACAAAAACTATACAAAAGCTGCACTGAAAAGAATTCCTACGTATGAATCATTTCGTTTTTTAAACACAGTCAACTGGTTTTCACTGAGCTTACGGGGTTGACTGAGCAGTATTTGCAGTGAGTCTTAGCATCATTTATTGCAGTGACATATCCTTACTTACAACAGTTTGTAAATATATGTGTTTTATTTTGTGCCATTGAAAAGTGGGCCCAAATTAGTGTTAAATAGTACCAATTGACACCTAATTCAGGCAAGATCTTCTCAGTAGTGCAAATCAATCTTTCTGTCCTGTAAATATTGGTTGGCAATTTATTTCATGTGCCCTTAAGTACTTTTAGTATTAGTGTTGTTAAGTGCCATCCAGTCGGTTCCAACTTATAGCAACCCTGTATAGGGTTTCCAAAGAGCAGTTGCTCTTTGTTTTAAGTTCAGGACAGAACCCATATTTTTTTCATGATATACTCTTATTGGTCATACAACCTCATTTTATGGTTGTTGCCGCTTGGTGGGTGGTTTGAATGCACCAACAGCTCCAAGAGAGAAAGAGGAGTCTTTCTGTTCCCTTAGACATTTATAGTCTCAGAAACCCTATCTCAGGGTTGCTAAGAGTTAGAACCAACTCAACAGCATACAACAACATGCTTTAAGCATCTAGTAAGAATGTTTGAAACAGCTCCCCCACCCTCTAGCTGTAATTCAATCTTAAATGCTGAGGGTGGTCCTATGGTACAGGTGTGTTCTGGAAAGAACAGAGATTTGGAAATCATTTAAGGCAACTCTTTCTTTACAACTGACAAAACTCTACCCAGAGAGGTTTGAGACTTACTGCAACTGGCTGTATTCTTATTGGTGGTTATGTGCCGCGGAGTTGGTTCCGACTCATAGAGACCCTGTACAAGGTTTCCAAGACTGTAAATCTTCACAGGAGCAGAAAGCCTCATCTTTTTCTGTAGTTTCGAACTTCACAGTCCGCTTCGTAACCACTACGCTACCAGCATTCACTGATCAACTTTATGTTAAATGCTGGGAATGAACCATGGTATCAGTGCCAACTCATAGCAATCCTGTGTAGGGGTTCTAAGGAGCAGCTGGTGGGTTTGAACCTTCTGGTTAGCAGGCCAGTGCTTATCTTACAACACCACACCATAACTCTGAACATAATTATTTTCATGTTAGTTATCCAAGTTTTAAAAGTTCTTTTTTTGGTAAAAAATACAATTTCATTGTCTAGTTTCACCATTACCTCAAATTCGGCAGTAATGTTTCAGTATACACTTGCGAAAGTTACTTAAATTTTCTTCTTTGCAGAGATAGCCACCGTATCATTCCGTTTTTCATTAATCTGCTTTGTTGTTCATTACTGCTGTTTTCTGTTGAGTAGGGGATGGATTCTTGAAATGACTGTCCATGCTCCTCTGCAAAGAAAACCCTAATTACTAGAAGAACCAGAGCTCCAGTGGCGCAAATTCTAACTTAAGCAACCTTGGGTCATGTTTATTTTCAGTGTCACTGCAGGGAGGAAGGGCAGTCGTTGCCAAAGCAACCGACACCCAGCCTCAATCGAGGCGCGAAGGGGCGTGTCCTCCTCTGGCCCGAGCAGATAAGAAGCGGTGCCGCTGCCGGAGTCTGGAGCGCGGCCTGTCAACACAGCCAGCCAGAAGCGGGGCGTGGTGGCCTAGCTTCTCATCAGACCTCCTTGGAGGGCCCCGGTAGCAGAGCCTGGGCGTTGGTGGGCGGGTGAGGCTCCGGGCCCACCACTTCCTTTCCCCACACTCCCAGCTGAGGAGCCAACATGGCGGGCGGGTGTTGCGGCCCGCTGTCGACCGCGCTCCTGGCCGCCTGGTTCGCAGTGGCGGCGGCGGCCAACCCCGAGCAGGCCGTTCTGCCGGTGGAGCGGAGTCTGGTCCAGCCCATGACCGCCTCTAACTGGACGCTGGTGATGGAAGGCGAGTGGATGCTGAAATTGTGAGTGTGTCCGCACGCCATCCTCCCAACCCTGTGTAGGTCGCTCCTAAAGCACATCTGCCTCCAGAATCAAACCCGGGTGGGAACCCGAACTTGTGCAGCTTTTAACTACCTGCGGCTTAGGGGGTCTGCCACTTGCGCTGCGCATGCGCGCACTGCTCTGTGCGTTCACAGTTGCGGGTTAAAAACGTTTTTTGCCTTACCCCCGTTTTGTGGGAAAGCATTTTACAAGTGGAGGGAGAAAATCTGCAAGGAAAAAAAAAGTGCGCTTTTAAGTGTAGGTATGTATTTAGAGGGAAAATGCCAGTCATTCAATGACATTTATGTAAAGTATAATTACCTAGCATGGACCAGGCAAGCATTTGTAGAATTAATTGGCAGCTCGTTAAAGGACTGGCCAGTTTGTACACAAGATCGTTGTCTTCCCTTTCGAAACCCTGAAAGGTTGTTACGAAAATGAAATAGAAAAATGGGTGCATTTTTCATTTTAAACAAGATTTTATGCACATGCTGATATTATAATTTTTAGAGGTCGGACTTTCTGGGTAGGGTCCAGTCGGAATTGATTCAACAGCAGTGGGATTGGATTTATTATTATTATTATTATTTAATACTATGAGTGTCAGGAACATTAATAAAATTGGCTCTTTCTCCTGTGGAATGGCTGGTTAGTTTGAAGTGCTGACCTTTAGGTAACAGCCAGGTACTTAAGCCACTGTGCTACCAGGGCTCCCTTTTTGAATAATAGAAGATAAATAGTACATAATGTCTTTACTTTATGGAGGTAGGAAAATCTAGTTTTCAATTAGGAGAAGGCAAGGAATTTGTTAAATTTAACTTAAAACTAACTTACACTAGAAGGGATATAATTACTTGAAAGTGAGCTTGAAGCTGATGGTGGGAAGATATCGCCTCAATAGGCTTGAGAGATATTCCTTATTTTCCTTCTAAAAATACTGGTAGAGACCACATCTCTTTAGTTGTAGGTTTCAGGCAATGTACATACTTGATCACTAGTATTTGGTATTGTATCTTGAGGACATAGACCCAAATTTAAATCTGTCCTTCATTTGCTTGAGACCAAATTTTGAATCTTTCAGTTGAGTTGGGGACGTCCATGACCTGGAAATTACTTTGGAGTGAGATCCTGAGTGTGTGTTCAGGGGCAAAAGTTGTGACTCACCTAGCAGATTATATTATTCAAAGAACATAGTGCACATCATCTTTTTGCACATGCCTTTTTGGTGACAAAGGTTTTCAGACCTCAAAGTAAAATGCCATTGGGAACATATGAATTATTGAAATTCTTAAAGATATTATAGCCAGGAAACACTTATTAAAATAAACCACTATACTTTCAGGGGAGGTGAGGAGGCCCTTTTCAATGAAAAGGAAACCACTTTAAAGTAAATGTAGCTCTAGAATGCTGATGTTAGGATTGTTTGTAATAATTTAAAGATTTTGAGAGAAATTGTGCATTCTCTCAATAGTATAGAAACTCTTTTTCAGTAGATAATTAACACAATAGGGACTTTGGGGTTTCTTTAGATGTCAGTTTTCTGGTAAAAACTTGAATTTGTGAACATGCATGATGAAGGTCAAAGCAAGAATGGCATCACTTCTTCATACTCTCTTTTGGAATAGCTTGATTCTCCCGTTATTTATGTTTTTTTAAGTAAAAACAAATTCCAAAACCCAGATGACAATAAGCCGCATTAAGCCATCAACTCCTATGTTTGATCGTCTTGGCCTTGCCGAGTTTACTTCTTTGTACAAGCTGAGGCATATCAATCAATGGTTCTGACCTCGCCTCATGTCCATTTGTATGGAGTATGTTTGGGCTGGGATAAAAGATGAGTCTTATAACCTATGAATAAGCTGTGTAGACATTTGAGATCATTATTCTGAAGTGTACTCAATAAAAACAATGAAGTTCTGTTTTCAAAGTGTACTCAATGAAAACAGAACTTCATTGTTTTTATTGAGTACACTTCAGAGTACTGAAGCACTGAACTACCAGGTTGCTTTGAACTACAAGGTCAGCTGTTCAGACTCACCAGCCGCTCCTTGAAAATCCTATATGGTGTCCCTATGAGTTGGAACCAACTTGACAACACTTAACAACAACAACACTTCAGAATAGGTCAACATGAAGTGAGCTTGGAAAGGAAATAGGGTTTAAGCCAGTACACAAAAACCTTCTTTTGTATACTAAAATTTCTGGACTTGTCCTAAAGAATTAGTATGGCCCAAATTGACTTTTCCAGTTTTCTGTATTACTAAATGCTAATTCTCTCTCCTTCCTTGGAAAAATCTAACACTTTAAAAAATAGAAAATCACTGTTTGCCTACTATACATTTCTAAGAATTCATCCAAACAGTCAAGAAATCATAAGTTGTTTTCGTTTTTCTCTCTGATGAATATAATTGAAAACTGTATCATCATTCATGTTAACATTTTGTTCAGGTGAAATGGTCATAAGGAATAGAGGCTGTTAGGGATTCCCATGTTGTACATCTCTAAAGAAGCAAGTTGGAATCCATCCATGGGGAGTACAGTTAATGCACTCAACTGCTGGCCTAAGGTTGGAGATTCCAGTTCACCCACAAGCACTTTGGAAGAAAGACTTGGCAATCTAGTCCTGAAAAATCAGCTGTGACCCTGTGGAGCATGGTTCTTTTCTGACACACATGGGGTCACCATGAGTTGGAATCCACTGATGGCAGCTGATAAAGAGGGAAATTAGGATTCTTTCTGTTAGCTGTATTAGTCTTTTTTTCTCTAGCAATGTATTTCATGTTGATATAAGTAATTCCTAAAACTTTCTCTTAAAATTTGTACATCAGCGTTCTAGACAAGACCTTAGGCAAATTCTATATGCCTCTAAACTGTGAATGAGTTTTACTTTATATGTGTTTCTATACAACTACAATATATATATGTGCCATCGAGTCAATTCTGACTCATAGTGACTCTGTATAGGGTTTCCAAGAAGAAGCTGGTGGGTTTGAACTGCTAACCTTACAGCTCAGACTGACCTTGCAGTCCAGTGCATTGTCCTGCAGCGCCTACCAGGATTCCATATATGTTTATATGGTATAAACATATGGTATGACTCTGCAGGATTAAAGCACTGGCCCACAAGGTCTATTTGAACTTCAGGGCCAGTGATTCAAATTTACCAGCTGCTCCTTGGAAACCTTATACAGGGTAGCTATGAGTTGGAACTGACTCGATGGCACTTACCAACAACAAATTATATATACAAATTGGTTTTGTTGTTGAAAATGGTCACAGCAGAGCATAAACCCAGTCAATAATTTCTACATGTACAATTCAGTGACACTGATTGCATCCTTTGAGGTGTCCATTATCCTCACCCTCCTCTTTCAAGTTGTTCCTCTCCATTAACATAAACTCACTGCCCCTTGAGTTTTCCACAAGGTCTATATTACCATTTTGCATTCCCACTATCAAGTGGATTGTCGGGGTTGTGAAGTGCCATTGAGTTGGTTCTGACCTGTAGCGACCCTGTATAGGGTTTCCGAGGTGCGACGGGTGAACTTGAACTGCCAACTTTGTGGTTCAAACTGATCTTGTAGTCCATAGTCCAGCACATTAACCCATAGCATCACACCAGGAAGGGTTGTAATTTTCCCACATCCCCACCAATATCTGTTAACGTCCATTTTGTGTGTTTCTTTTAATCTTGGATATGCTGGTGGTGATGGTGATAGTGTGCTGTGATGTAGGTTCCAACTTAGCTAGCGATTTAGGTTCCAACTCATAGCGATTCTGTATAGGGTTTTCGAAGAAAGCCTCATCTTTCTTCCATGTAGCGACTGGTAGATTTGAACTTCTGACCTAGTGGGAATAAAATGACATCTAATGGTAGTTTTGATTTGTAGCTCTCTGATGGCTAATGACAAGCATCTTTTCATGTGTTTGGTGATCATTTATATGTCCTCCTCCATGAAATGTCTACTTAAGTTCTTTGCTCATTTTATGATTGGGTTATTTGTCATTAAGTTGTTGAAGTTTTTGTATGTATTTTGGCTATTAGGTCTTACTGAATATGTTTTCCAAAGATATTTTCCTACTTTTTGAAGTTTTATATTCTTCTATTCCAAAGATAGCGTAGTGGTTACGAATCGGGCTGTGAACCTTAAGGTCAGCGGTTCGAAACTACCAGGTGCTCCGCGGGAGAAAGATGAGGCTTTCTACTCCC